ACCAAAGGGACCGCAAGTCCGCCGTACACCCGCGCACGGCCCGAGAGTAAATGATTCGACGTATGTAACATACTTCACGGGCACTTTCCTCAGCAGACTCCAGAAAGCAGCTCTGCCAACAGAATCAAATGCTGCACGTATATCCAGGAAGCAAAAGAGAGTAGGCCGGTTGAATGCTCGACAATGCTGTAGCGTCTGGTGGATTGTAGAGATGTTATCATTGCAGCCCCGACCTGAACAAACCGCAGCCTGTTCATCACGTATGTAATGTTCGCGTACTCGACTGGGCCTCTGTAAAAGCAAGGAGCCTAACACTTTGGGTGCAACGTATAGGAGGCTTATCCCTCGGTAGTTTGCGCAATCCGTTCGGTCATCTCCTTTGACAATGGGCACGATGTACGCTAAGCCTCAACCGGATGGGTTGATTTCTTTGATCAAAATCTGTTTGTGGAGGGTAGTCAATTCAGAAATGAGAGACCCACCTCTATCCCTGAAAAGAGCAGCAGGCAATTCGTGGGGACCGAGGGATTTGTGACGTTTCAGAAGACGAAGCTCATAGGCAACCTCGGCCTCAAATGGCATAGAGGTGCTTACACACCAGAGAACACCGTAGCTACGAGCAAGGCAACTCGAAGGCAGTGGTGGCCAGTTGAACTGCTATTCGAACTGCTCTTACTAAAGTACAGATCAGTGCTGGTGAACTGGTTCACCGTCGGTTTCACATACCAATTCGCTTACATTTGGTTTCTTGCCACCCGTAGTTCGAATAAGAGAGATGAGTCATTGGAAGTTCCTTGAAGATGCAGCATGTTCCATCTCGATGACACGCTTATATATATATATATATATATTATACACAATCTGTGGTACAGATATTGTGCCATCGGAATCATGGCTGAATAGGAAAACAATATGAATAATAAGAAAAGAGCAACAAGAAATGCTTTTTTTGTCAAGTTTACCACTCACAGTTTTTGAAATTTTTTTTTCAGTTTGTTCGTTTTTAGGGGGAGGAGGAAGGGACAACCGCAACACACTGATGCACACGTCCGCCATTGACATCGATCTTGAGCCATAACTTCCAAGGTTTTCAACCAGCAAGTATCCTCGTCTCTCGGACCCCAACCAGGTAGTCGACAACAACCGGCCGAGGCCAATTGTTTCGTCAACTTTTTCATGCGGCTTCTCCATGTTGTAGGCTGTCCACCAGACCGTCTCTTCCAGCCCTGTCCAGCAAGTGCAAACAACGCACGACGGGGGTAACGCTGGACAGGCATGCGCAATACGTGTCCCAACCACCGCAGTTGATGCAGTGAGATGAGCTCCTCGAGCGAGTGGCTTCCACGTCCCAAGACACGCTGTCTAACTTCCACATTGCTTACGTGGTGCTGCCACCACACACGGGCAATGGACCGCAGACAGCGGTGCTCGAAGACGGATAGCCTGCGCAAGTCATCTTTACGAATGGGCCAGGTCTCGCATCCGTACAACAGTACAGCACGAACAGTTGCACAATAGACCTGCCCTTTGATGGAGAGACGAATGTCGTGGCGACGCCACAAATGCCTCAGCCTAGAAAAAGCGAGGCGTGCTTTCGAGATGCGCATCGAAATCTCGTCTCCAACAGCCCCGCCAGCAGTGATGCAACTTCCCAAGTAGACAAAGCTCTCCACAACCTCCAGTGTCTCACCAGCAAGCGTGAGTGCAGGCAGAGGCGTGCACCAGGATTCGCGATCTTTCCTGAGAAACTGTTTGGGCGTGGCGTTGGTAGCGCTGCGAAATGAATTATACTCGACATCAGCAGGAATTGTTCAGCGGTCTTCCATCACGAGAAGATCCAGCGAGAATCTATCGGTTGATAGCGTGCTTAGCCAAATCGCATATGACACTAGCGGACTTGTGTATGGCACTCCGGATGTACGTCCAATACACCTCATTATCTAGGAGTCGTGGGCTATTCAGAGTAGTAAATAACGAGTTCTAAGAGACACAGAGAATATTTGGCGCGACAAGTTCGGCTGCGTCAAGCCGTTTCCGACGACGCTGTGGGACCACCAAAACGCAGGACAATTCTACAACACAAGTGCGTGATCAGAAGTGAGAGATATAATCCAAATTGGTTTGAAGTCTGTTATACAGCCTCGCCAGCGGTAACTGATGGCGATGTGGTCAATCTGTGCGCACGACTGTTCAGGCAAAGGGTTTGCTAGGTGACGCACTGGGATCAGAAGTGCCGAAATTCCTTGCTCGAAAGGAATAGACCGGGAACAGCACAGAGCTCTAGAATGCGTTATCCGTCCTACAGGCTACCAAGGTCGCGTTCATCCTTCTTGAACCTACTAATCTTTGCGTTTAAGTCCCTGGGGAGAACCAAGATACCCGTGAGGCGTTTCTTATGGAGTAGATCGGACAGTTAGTAGTAGAACTCATCTTTAGCTGAGTCTGGACTGCACTCCATGGGAACACGCCTCTACGACAAACCAACAGTGTTTGGTAGCCTGGCGGCTGGATAATCGTGCGGAACTTTCTAGTCGAATTGCGCAGGGTCGGTTATTAGCTGGGATACAATCAAACAGCGCTTTTTCTGCGCACCCGCCTAGCACCAATCCCACACCTGCCAAGCCCGCGGCTTCAGCAGTTGTGTCTCCGGATAAGCGTAGTGTGAATTTACCGTGGGAGCACACATAAGGTGATGTCGGTCGTAGGGTTGTGCTAGAGTCATATACTTGGGTTTCAGCGAGACAATATATGATGGAGAGGGTTTCTACAGTGCGAACAAGGGCCGCCAATTACCCTATCTGCATGACTGTCCTGGCATTGAAAGCGGCCATTTTAAATAAGGAACGGGCGTCAACAGAGGTCCTGTCTTCGCGACTACGTCTCACATGGACAGTCTTGAGCTGTTCATCGATACGGTTAGCACTGTCACTTAAGGCGGCAAATTGTCGGAGACCCGAAATCAGGGAGATTACCATGAATGTGTAAATTCGAGAAACGTGGAGCCAAACATGTGTGTGGTGCAGTAGAACATAGCGCAGCGAAACCGGTTGTCTGCACCTCGACCTACGAAAGCGAAGGCAGTGAGCGTAGATAAAGAGCAGAGTAGGTTCGTGTTCGTATGATGTATGGGCGAACAGCTTCCCGGTCGATCAGGCCAAGGAAGAGAGTTGACACAAGGGACCCCACCCGGATCCTTGAGCCATAAATACCTGGCCTGCAAGGCAGTGAAGCTAGTAACATATGTCGCGAACCATCGGGAGCCGGTAACACGATGTTCATGTAGTAACAAACTGCTCAAGGCACTCGCTATGTCCATGTGCAGCGGTTTTGTGCTGCCTGTTGACAGCCAGGCGGCTCCTATGCCTCCTTTGTATTCTACAGCAATCCACACAGAATCCGGCAACCAACAAGGTTGTTCATCTTCTCCCTGTTAAGTAATAACCGGTTACATAAGTGCGTGGACAGTGACGCTATATCCGGTCACATTGACTTTGACCCAGCGCCATACGAGCTCTTGTGGTATTTCACGGAGAACTAAGTGACCAGCCCAAAACTCCCCACGCTCTGAGACCTGTCGCCGATTGTCCGCGACTGCTTATTCCTCTCGCCTGCAAAGCAAACGAGACTTATTCAGTTATCTCCACAAGGAAGGCATCCGTAACCTGGGGACGCGCCCGATAGCACAACTCCGCCACCGGGATCCGCGTCTGGGAGAACATGGATCTTCAAAGGTTTCAGCCCATTTTTTGTACTTGGTCTGAACAGGTTACCACTCATCTCTTTTCTTCCATCAGTAGAATACGGCTCGCCGGCTTACTGTCCAATCACCCGAGGCAAGGCACAAAAGATTGAACGGGTCCAACACGTCGCTACCAGGTTCATTCATGTTTTACGGGGTTTTCGGTGCGAAGATTGCTGCAAAAATCTATGACGCTACATCTTGTCCTATCGTCGAGTGCTAGTCAATCACATCATTACCGACCACCTATTACATCCCGGTGACTTCCCCATGTTGAGGCCGCTTGCGAACGCCGTGCACCACACGTGGACACCGGTACAAGCTAGTAGTGGCAGATGCATTTTATGATATTTCTGATTATGTTCCCATGGAATTGCACATATTTAGTTAGCTGCTTGATCCCATAATACAGTATTCCTTATTTGGATGTATTCTCTGCGTATGATTTACATATTTCTCTGAGTTCATGATCTTTCAGTCCGTTGCACTGTGTGCCTCGCTATTTGAATGTGGTAGGTACTGAATTCCTGGGTACGGCATGCGTATCTTCGCTAGGACGGGCATTTGCACCCTATCATGTGTCATCACGTCTGCAGATTACATTATCCCGGCTATCCCTAACCGCATGCCTTGATCCCGCATCCTGTTAATATGGCGCTTACAAAAAATATTAGTTGTATTACTACTACTAAGCATCTGGTTTATCAAACCGACAATTTCTAACGGCGAGAACTGACGTAATTTCTGTCTGGTTCTGCAAGAGCACTGTAAACTTGGTGAGCACCATCGCCTCTCTTAGGATATGGCTTCAGTACCTGGACTCCTCTCAGGGAACATTTCACGATAGAGCCTGCCATAAATTGAGTGGAAACCAGAAAATAGGGCACTTCTTTTGGGCTTTATGCGTTGTCGAAAAACGACCGGCAACTCACCGTAGAGCAAGCAATTGCTGTGTACCTTGAGTCTACACATTTATCCTATCGATTAACCTTTTACCTGCATCTGATAAAATATTAGATTCTACACAGACGTTTTCAGTATACTGCAGTTTGTTAGTGACTGCAAACAGGTTTTCAGGGTATCATTTTTACTCGATAAACGCATCATGTGTACGACTTTCGTCCACTTGACCGGTTGTATGCTATTTTTGACTAGTATTTGCCATTTATATGAACGTAGGCGGTACTCGTTTCATTAACGTCCATCTTCCTTATTTGAGATTACATCTATTTTGTCTGTCCTTTATTTGCTTTCCTCTCAGTGTCGTCGGTTCTCTGGTTCAGTTTTTACTCCATGAAGCTGACCGAAGCTCTCCCAATTTCCATCTTCCTCGAGGCCTCATTCTTGACGCGCCTTTCACAAACATTGCTCAAGTGATGATGTCGCGGAGGCCATTTTGGGTACGCCTGTCTCCTTCCATAACAACACTGTTTATTCTCTTCGTGTATCTTACCTAATTTGAAACTTGTTCCTCTGGCCTATGTGCACTCCACTACAAATACCTTTTCACATTGTTTTGCTCGTGTGTCTGCCCTTGTTTCCTGTCTGGCCAAGCCCTTCAGTAGTTCCAACAGTTTTACAATTCTGTTCACAAACGTAATCACATTAAAACCTCCAAAGGTGACCACCTCCGTGTTGACCACCACTCTACATTGATCAGCTGTTCATAGTTTGGTCGGTCACTATGTAAACCCCATGGAGCCAGACATTTGTACGTTGACCACCACTGTACGTGGTATGTTGACCACTTAGGCTATGACAGTAATCATTCAACTTCCATACGTTGACCATTTGTGGGTTTACTATCCAATGGTTCTCGAAAGGCTCATTTGTTCGGATAACATGATATGCAGCGGGGCTGCTATGCGTGGACTTCTGAGCCCCAAATCAGTGGACTTTGTGGATACAGCATGCTCTCTGTGTATGTGTGTGTGAGTGTGTTTATCCCGGCCGTCAGCGTTTACGCGCACGCGTTTTACCTAGATCAATGTGGGTCACCACAGATCTGCGCTAACAGAATGACCTAAGACAGGGTGTCCAAATTTTTCGCAAGGAGGGCCACATTTTGTGACGTAAAAATATGTCTAGCCATATTCAGTCAGACATTCAGATAACAATCAAAAATGACATGCTGCAAACTTTTATTGCAAGTTTTTGATTTGAATGGTGAAATTGAGGTTTTGACTGCAGTGAACTGGTCAGGTCAGACGCATTGACAATGGTTTTGCTACGCAATATATTATGTATGTGAGAATCACATAGTGTCCTCGCACGGTTCTTGTTAAAATTCAAAACTGAGAATGTCTACCCGCAGTGTTGAGCCAAACAAGCTGAGCATTTTCTTAGCAATTGTTCGAACTTCTTGAAAGCTGTCTTTATCCAAGTAGCGGCAAAAATCGATGAGAGAGCTGTTGGTGTCCACTGCGACATTCAACATCACTAATTAACTTAGAGTTCCGGTTGCAGGTGGCCTGGGGCATTGTCAGAATCCACAAAGAAAGGCGAAGAAAAAAGCCCGTTTTTGTTTTCATTGGCTGCCAAGTCCTGAAAGCGCCATTGAAACTCATCACCTAGGGGTACAATATTTGCGATATACTTCTGTATTTATGAATTGATGTTGCTTTCTGGAAGACATGCCATGATTTCCTGTAGTGGTGGAAAATGTGTGGTATTATGCTGCGTTTGAGACAGTTATCTCTGGAAAAATTTCAGCTTATTCCTAAAGGCTTTGATTCGTGAATATAATTGGCTTACCACTGCATTTCGGCTCTGAACGCTCGTGTTCAACATGTCCAAATGCTATGTAATATCAACCAAAAATTATTCAGCCAAGAAAGACTAGATAGTACTGGCATTGATTGTCCCTTATTTTTCATTATTTGTTCAATTTCTTACCTAAGGGAGTAGCAGCGATAAAGTGAAGTCCCCCGACTGAGCCATCTTACGTCATTGTAATGCACGACATCTCCGTATTCATCGTGGGTGTATAGGAGAAACTGCTGAAACTGACCATGGAAAAGGGCTTTAGAGCGAAGATATTTGGTAGCTTGTATCACTGGATTCATGGGATGATCACACCTAGGATGTTTAGTAAAGATAACTTGTTGGTGTGTGATGCATTGGAGTTTAATAGCTTTGTTCCCCTCATCGCTGACTTTGTTGCAGACAAATGTTGCTAATCCACTGACTTTAGATTGACTTTTCCTAGTTGTTTAAAAATAAACATTACTACATCATTGATTTTGTCAGCGTCTGACGCCATTGAATATTGTACTCAACGTCTGATTTTTTATAATCTATCGTATGCCTTCTGTAGGGAAAAAAATTCAAGTTTGCATTTATTACTTCATGATGAGGCCCCGCGCCAGTTGAAATATCGACGCGGGCCGCAGTTGGCCCGCGGGCCGGACTTGGACATTCTTGACCTAGAACGTTTGGCGTTCAACCTCCCTACCTGTCGACATACACAGACAAGCCTTCATATACCCCTAACAACATGTGTCCTCTCATCACATAGGCCACAAACAGCAATTTGAGTAACGGTCAGACCCAAGATTAAGCACCAGGTCTAAGCACCAGTTCATTAGCACCTTGCATTATGGCGAGATTGATGTTTGAGCCCACATTAATTGTCGTGCGTTTATCAGGTTCTATTTGATGTCGACCTGAGGGTGAAACCAATTGGGGTTGTTTATTGTATTTAATTAATGTTACGTAAATAGAACCGTTTATTTTAGATCTACTCCGTGTTTTGAATACATTAGGATCGGTCATTTCGAGTAATACAACATTATGGCCCAAAGAAAAGAGCTCAGAGTTGACTTTGAAGGAAAAGATTAGTCTGCTACCTTTTCTGGAAAGCAGTAGCCAAAGAAGGGCGGCAGAGCATTTTGGTGTTAGCGAGACAAGGTAGCAATATCCATAGACCTAAACACGAGTACTTAGATATATGATAATGGAAGAGGAGATCAACAGCGGAAGAGACGGAAACTTCACATAATAAAGTCACTGGGGCTACGCTGCGCTGGTTCAAGCAAATGAGGGCAGCTAACGCTCGAATTACTGGGCCGATGATTCCTGAAGTTGCTAAAAGGTTCTCACAACAATTTAAGGTTGCAGATTTCCAGGCATCCAATAGTTGGCTAGAGAAGTTTAAATTCCAACGTGAAATTTCCCAGTGTTTTGTGTCGAATTCCATGAAGTGCCTGAAGAGTTTGTTCAAGACTTTAACAATGACGACATTTTTAACGCTGAGGAGTGCGGTCTCTTTTACAAGGCGATGCCAAATAGAAGCTTTGTTAGAAAGGGTGAAAAATGTAAGAGGAGAACATTCCAAAGAACGTTTCACAGTTCTGTTGTGCGCTATCTCAAGTGGGGATGAAGCTAAAGCCTTTAGTCATTGGTAACTCTGCTAGACCGTTTACGTTCAAAGACCTAAATCCTGAAAACTTTCCAATCACCTGAATATCAGACCGATCTGCGTGGATTACTGCTGCCATATTTGGAGAGTGGATCAGAAGTGTGGACAAGGAAATGATGAAAAAGAACCGCTTCATTATCCTGACAGTGGACAACTGTCCTAGTCACACTTATTTAGAAAATCTTGAATATTACACTTAAGTTTTTGCCTCTAAACATGACCTCATCAATTCAGCCTCTCGACCAATGTATCATCAAAATGTTCATAATGCATTACTGATCCCAGCTCATGTAATGGGATATGGCAAAATTACATACTATTGATTCATATGTTACCCTTGGATGCTGCGCTTTGGATAAGTTCCGCTAGTTTCAAACTTCAGCCGGATAATACCGACGAAGATGAAGTAGAACTGAGTGACGGTGACTTGCAAATCACAGCAACTCCAAAGGAAGATGAAGTCAGACATCTTTTAATGCAACTGAAATCATTCGCTATGGAAAGATGTCCAAACATGCTGAGTAGGGTGGCTTGTACTGAGAGTGCTATCAGTTCCGTTTGTGATAAGAGAAAGAAACGGACGCTGATTGACTTCCTTCAAAAAATGTATTAACCCAAAATGCACCCTGCATTTTGATTTGTTATAACGCTGTATGGTTGAACTGCGTTTGCCGTTACATGAGACCTCGCCAACCGCACTTAAAACGGTTTATTTGAAAATAATTTTCACAATATACTACTCACAATTGGAAAGTAGGTTACGCCATATTTTGGCATGGAACCTCCGTATGTTGCCCTCTTTGGTCCAGTCCTTTGGGTGGTCAACTTACAGAGGCTCTTATGTACTTGTATCGCTTTACTGATCGCATAACCAAGGGAGTCACCGCGCGTATTACAAAACCTGCGTGGGTGTGTCGGCTGCCATTGATGCTCTAGGTGTATGCTTCATGTCGTCCCTCTGGTTAGACGCCATCCCAGTTTAAAAGACATCTTGCAGTGACTTCACTGTGACTTTCCTTTCACTATTTTTGTAGTTACTATCTTGATGACATGCGATGTGCCAACTCGCCAAGCCCTTGTTAATGGTATCACACATCTCACAGACCGTCCATTTTGGCGCTCCAAAATGTCATGTTTCCACTCGCTCACCATTTTCACAGTTATCTATGTTACCGCATGGCTTATATACTTCATCTACACTGTCGTTGTGCTACGTTTCACCACCTTACTTATAGCCCATGGCATGTATCGTCTGGTTTGTTGACGTTGCACTGCTGAATTGCAATCCATGGTCACTCGATTTATGCCTGTTGACAAATGATTTTGCATAGTTGGTCCTCTCAAACCATGTTCATTCGCAGCATTCCGATGCTCTACCTTCCGTTTTCATGATTAGCTTTTTTCGAGATACAAACTCAGCGATATTAAGCCGGTTTCATGAAAATGGACAATTGGTCGTACATCTCGAGTTTACGCGGAGTATCAGCCTAAAGCAGTGCGGACATTAACCTACCCACTTATTGTTTTATCATGCCGCTGTCTCATTCATTCTGTTGCACTTACACATCGTGGCCCCTTTGCTCTTGCCTACATACACTACACTGTTGAACGCGATCTTGGTCGAGACTTCACACTTTCTGAACTGTGTGCGCACCATACGGTTCCTAATTTCGATCTGAGTCTAGGAATAGTCGGATGTTGGAGAAACTGAGATTCTCATCTCTTGATCCTCTCAACTTAGGTGGCAGTAAACTGTTGAAGTCCCAATTTAAAGCTGACTCGACAATGTACCAAGCAATCTTCCGTAGATAGAAAACGAGTACATCACCAAGGATTACCCTGAAGGTTTTTCTCCTGAAGCTTGTCGCAAGACGAGCGGCAGTTTGCCGCTGTTGGTACCGTTTATGGCTGTTATTCTCTATGGCTACTTCTTAGCAACTCATTTTTATGTCCGTTTCTGGTTTACTCACTACTTTTTGGAACTGCGATCGGTCTCCATTCGTCATTCACCGAATTTGCTTGGTGCATTGCTCTGTTTCGTAACGCAGCTCAATTTGGAATTATCTTATCCACACTATTAAGAACAAATTTACGGGAAACCGCCATGCTCACTTCTCAATCATTAATCCTTTCCATGCTCTTCAACGAACTCAATTCTTTGCAGATCCATCGATTGCTGCCTCCCATTAATAAACGGATGACCCTGCTCACCTCCAGCTTGCGAGTGGAATTCAACACTGTGGACAAGTAAGCTCCAATATGCATGATGCGTTCGATCTCTTTTTGCTTATTCTACCACCGTTACTTTCTACAAGAAAATGGTCACCTTCCACATTTGCGTCACATATCGCTATCAACAGACCCACTTTCACCGCACCGGCTTGTGTTGTTTGAAACACGTCGCTTGTGTGACGTTCTTGTCGATTGACCCCCTAGTTCAATGTAACTTTAATTGCGCTCGATTCCCGGATGTCGATCCCCAGTGCGATCACATCAGTTGTTAACCTCGTTGTGCTTTGGGTTTTCACTGTCAGTCTTTCCATTGGCCATTTACGGCTCTTTAATAATAACCTCTACGCACTTTTGTTCTTTACTGTTCGTTTTCTTTGTTTTCCCTACCATAGCTTCAGTAGCTAGATCCCTTTCGCCACGATGCCCGAGTCTAAGCTCATTGTAAGCTTTGGGCTTAGGCTGCGTTTCGTTTCGCTGGAATCCACAGGCCATTGACTCATCTCCATTTACTGTTGGATCAATATACCCATTTCATTTTCCACACTTGACCTCTTGATTTGCGCTCTCCATTTGACTGACCAATAGACCAAGACCGCTTGGTACACTGGATACTGCAGCTGGGCGTGCTAAATCAAATCAACTCAAAAGCTTTATAAACCCTAATATGTTCATTTTCAGCATTTACACCACCACTGCGGACACCTGGATGAGAAAATCAGTATACATGCTTGGGTAGAAAAGTGGGAAAAAAGCAGAACTGTTACTCCAACAAGCGCTCGCGCAGCATGTTAGTGACTTTCGCTGGCTTAACAAGCAAACGCGAGAGATAAGGCATAACAATATTACGGTACGATGACGTGTGGGAGAATAAAGTTCTGAATTTCGAACGAGTAGAAGAGAAAGAGAGTTTTAGAAAGATCATTATGAACTGGATGAAATCGATCAGTTAGTATCTCAGAAGAAAACTCATTGCAGGCATCAATATGTCTAGAATTGATCAAATCAACTAAAGAATCTCTAGACAAGCCGCTGCATCTAGGAATGTGCTCTTTGGACCGCACCAGTAAGATGTAGTCTTTCTGAAGTAGTCCATGGAAAATGACAGGAGAGCAGTATAACCAATGGGGAATAATGCAAGAAGTCATAAACCTGAATATTAAAGTACGCGGTACTGAAAGCGCCTTAAGTCTTAGGGCATAAAAAAACGTTTTCTTACCTTTTGAAAAGTTTTACAGATCTGCGTGGACCAAGCAAGCTTCTGGGACAAAATGTCGCCGAGATACTTGACGGTGGCAGAGCTGGGTATGGGATTTTCATTCACAATGAGGGAGAAATCTATGAGAGACCAACTTATCGCCACGGAGAAAAGAAAATATTACATCACTACATTTAGAAGCATTAAGCGTAAGATATATTGATGAAGACCATTCCGCCAGATCTTCTAACCCACCTTGAAGTTATGAGAAATCCTGGTTAGCGGGGGCCATACATCCCGGCATAACATCGTCAGCATATTTACACCCTATAAACGTGGTTTGTATAGGGAAATGTTCAATATACAAGGAAAATAGAAAAGGTGATAGGATCGCTCCCTGCAGAACACCACAGTCGGTACGGAGGACAGAGGATTTCTTACCGTCCAACTTGATGAGGTGAGTGCGATCTGTAAAATAGTCACGCAACAGATTACACACATCAGGATGAACTCCATTTTCGGGTAGCAGGTTTAGCAACCTTAACGTATCCAGGCTTTCAAATGCATTCGAATAATCCAGGAAGAGAAGCCGTACAGATTTACATTTTTGATGTAATGCCGAGGCTATAGCATGAACAATATATGCCACTGTATCCAATGTGGAACGTTGGGCTCTATGCGCAAACTGATAGATATCGTCTCTAGCAGCGGCTGAAACAATCCGCGGAATTAACAGTCTTTCGAAAACTTCTAGGAGCACAGATGTACATGCAATTGGGCGATACTTTTGATATCCAGTTTTTGGGTGCTGGAGTAATACTGGCCGCTCTCCAAATGTCCGGGGTTACACCCTTAGTGGGGCACTTGTTAAAGAGGTCTGTTAGAGGCAGTGTGAGAGAATCAGCAAACTCCTTCAAAGCTAATGGTGCGAGAGCATCAGGACCACAAGCTTTTGTTACCTTTAATCTTTTGAGTTCCTTGTGGACGTTGCTTTGATCGAAGGGCGCGGCTGGACTTGAGCTAATGAAGAAGGGCAAGGAAGATGAGCTTAGTGAGGCGGAACTAAACTCCGAATTCAGTTTATCCACATCCTCTTCACCTCTCCGGCTGCAAACGCTCTTACCACCGCGTTGCCTCAAAAGACCCCATAGATCGCGACAGTTATGGTTGCCGAGAACTGCTTCAATGTATAATTGGTTTAGTCTTTTTTATCTCGGATTTAATTGCCGTGGTTAGGCTTTTGACACGAGTAGCATTCTTGCACTTGTAAGCCCATTCTTTCATCCTTCGAAGTCGCTTTAGTAGTGGTGATGAAAATCTATCTGCTCTTAGATAGATCGTTTCAACAGGGCGACACATGTCAAAGCAATATTTGATATAGTCCGTAAGATGGTCACATTCGAGCGACAGGTTCTCGTCTTTGGAGACTGAAAAATCAGTTAACGATAGTGTATGTCCGCAGTGAGACAGTTTGTAGTCATCGTAGACTACGCGTACGCTTATTTCCTATCAGACGCCACGGATTCGGATTTCCTTCAAAAAACCCAAACTTAGGATAGTCCTTTATACTGATATTTGATGCACCCGAATCTGTGTATCGTGAAGCAGCAGCCAAACGCTCAAAATTTTACCTTTGCTATCACAGTTAAAGGGTGCCGAAACGTCACCACAATCCATTGTTTTTCATCTAATCTGCATCTCGCTATCCTTACTTGTTTATACTCGAAGAAGACTTCACTGCTTTAATGCCTTCCTCTCCCTCGCTCCCAGTCTACCCGAACTTGTTTTCCATGCTGAAAAGCCCACTTCTGTAGCGCATAAACTTCACTCGGTGAGACAGTATTTTACCATCAACGTGCTCACCACCGAACGTATTTCAAGTCGTGACGATTGCTCAGAAGGGAATGTTCTGACTATCTGTTATTACTTGCTATTTCTATTGTGGCTGGGTTAGTCCAAGCAATGCCACGATGTATTAGTTCATGTGGCTGACTCTGCCACCATCTCTAGAGAATGCTCATGGCCCTTTGGATATCCGATTCCTACGCATACATTGCTTTTCGTTTGCGTTTCTCAGCCGATATCTTCACTCCTTCTGGTTACGTTACTTGTATGCATCCAGCTCTCTGTTTCTGTGGATTTCTATCCACGAGACTTGCATGCCTTCCATTAGACGTATCAGTGTTCCGTAACTGCTAACCATAGGACACTTATCTTCAAACTCAACGCGTCTGTACACTTAGGCATACCTTCTGCATCAACACAACAACAGTTGACGATCCATACTTTCCGTGAGATTCCAGCTAGTGAAAAAACTGTTCACTACTGTGCCTTAGTTGGTCCTCGGTTTCATCGATTTTGTCCATCTGACTGCGCATCCTTTTCAGACGAGCCTTGCTTTGGTTTACGAGCATTTAACTGTGCGATTTGACTCACTGGTTTGTTGGGGTTGAACCTTAACAAACTGCATATGGTCGGCCCCGATCCGCTGGTTTGGGTCCTGTCGATTTACTCAAGCAGATCGTTTGCATGCGAAGTTTGCTTTTAGCTGGTAAGAAGGTGGAGTAGGAGACATTCGGAAGGGAGGGTTTTTTTCGCTATTGCGAGTGGACTATGGTGCGTCACCGTTGACTGGTTTAGCTAGTCTGACACTGCAAAACACATTGAGCAAGTGCTCTCAGACGAGTGGCTACCAGCCATTATTATAATCTCTAAAATTAAGCAATTGAAGTCTTGTACAGGCGATTGATGTATTAGCCTCATCCCCTTTGCCTTTAAAATCCTCACACTGCATTCTTTGGCGGATCACACGTACTCAAAGGAGTGAAATCGTTGTGATCCAGGATCACACTCGTCCTCATGAGGCTTGGATCGGACAGCTCTTTCCGCTTCATAGGGTACCACGTCACGCAACTGAACGTGCCGTCTTCGTTCACTTCAACACTGGCTTTACGTTGGTTGCAGTAATACTTAACCTAAGAGCGTATTGGGAGTGTCTTCTGTTGTGTAATCCCTGTACTGTAACTCCAATGATCGTGCATCACTCCTTCTGAGGAACTGTCTCACTATTTCACGGTAAATGTATTTCATCAAGATTCTCCTATTTACCCATTTCTCTTTGACCATGTGTTCAAGATATGCAAAACTGATCTTGCCCTGGACGATTCCTTTGGATTACTTTCGAGTTCAACACGAGCGCAGCCTAATAGTCCCACGTGGATCGCAACAGGCTTTGCATCTTACAGTTGCAAAGCAATACTACCTTGCTGTGTTGAAACGCAACCTGTCGTCACCATTGCTGAACAGCCACCTCTACCCGTCAATTCACCTTATCTCCAATAATCCTTCGACTTAAAGAAGCTTGTGTCATGGAGGCAGGCTGCACTACATGAGCCGTCGGTTAGCTGCGCGGCTTAGAACACAGCAATGTGGCCTATACTTATGTTTGTCCCAGAACTATGGTCAGCATATATTTGTGATATAAGTATTTCGGCTGTTTCTCCAACGGTAACCGCAACGTTTTTCTCATATCCATGATTACTCCTTGTGATACCCACTAGATGGCATTTGAAAAACAGGCTATCTTTCATCAATAAATGGTCCATCCTTAAGTCGGGTCCATCACATGAACAGTTCCCATCTATCTTAGCCCGCACTGTTTACCAGTACTGCACGTTTTTGAGTGAATACCCCACAACGACAGCCCGATCATATGGCAAAAATAGGGACAGTTGAATTAATGACGTATCGCCCTGAGAGTGGTCACACAAGTGTCCAGAAATCCTATATACGTAGTACAATCTCAGCAACTCTTCTGCTGAATATTTACCGCTCATGGGTGCCTAAAGCACATCCTTGACTTTCTTCCGGCACACAACTGTTCGATTTGCTAATCAGCGTTTTTAGCTCATCTTTGTGATCCGCATTCTCGTTCTGCAGTCTCTTAATTTTCCTAAATACGATTAGCCCCTCTGCTTTTGTAAATTATTTGTTACTAACTTATTAGAATTTTTGAAAGCCGTCTCCACCTCATTTCAGTTTTCGGATCACGGATGAGTGTGTGAAATGCTGGTGATTTCCTTACATCTGGTCTCAGGGATACAGTAATCCCGAGTGGTTGGTTTATCTCCACGCGCACCGTCGTTATTTGTGCGTCAAAGGTAGTATACTGGGAAGAACTTGCACATTTTGGCTTTCCTTGCTTCCCGGCTACCTATCTGTTCCCGGAGCTTTACCCATGTCTTCTTCCAAGTTGTGATGGTCATTTGGCAGAGGCATCGATGCAATTGTGTATCTTTCCTTGATCAAGCTTGCTTGGGTTCCATGCTTGCAAATACCTTTAGCATACATACGGCCTATCAGTTGTGTTACATGGTCTACGAGAGGTAATAGAAAAGTGCTTAGTCTCAAGGTAACAAATCCAGCTTTGAAATCAAAATTTTTATTTTCCGGGTTATTATCTTTAGTATAATCTCCCTTAAGATCAGTGCACTTGCGACAACGATACTAAAGCGCCATTATCCCCTTGGAAAATGACTCTTGTTATTACCCCAAGAACTCCCTCGACGGCATGCATGAAATTGTTGTCATAGAAAAAGGGCTGACCGGATAACACTTTTTTCGCCTTTAGTAACATGGAAGTTCATTGGGGATGGGTGTGATGAGTAGTGTAGATAGGAACATTTTAGAACTCATAGTGATGGATTGCTACCGTGACAACTGTCATTGGTTGAAGTATTGCCATGGCAAAAGAAAATACCTTTTGTCAGCATTTCTAACTATTCTTGAATGTGTTGTCTAGAGAGTTGCAGTAGGTCGTCGTACTAGTTTTCGGTGATCGCCTGACCAATTTGAAGGAGAATCATAGTCAAGGTACCTCGAGAATTTCAAAAAACACTGAAGTATTGGCTTTGACTCTCTTCGGTGCCGGGGGTGTTGCATGCTTTTATTTTATTTGAATTGTTCATTTGTTTCAGACTGATATTGATGGACCAAACTCTTATCCATAATAATAATTTGAGCGAGGAAACTGCCTCGGTTTCAGACAATCCCAAATTGTTCCATGACATGTTATGCCGAGTGCACAAAAGCGGATGGGATCACCGAGCCTAAACTGTTGAGTGACCAAGTTCGTTCTTCAGAATATGATCTGCCGGCTCTTGTGACATACGCAGCGCGTTCCCTGCTTGACCTGTTGATAACCGGTGACCCCGTATCATCGTATGTGCACAACAGGGTAAAGGTTTTACTCGTGGTTGCGGTTGATGGGCTCCTTGGCGTCGGCTCATATTCAACGCCCTCTTTTCCATACTTGGATCCTTGTACCTTGTGTCTAACTGGGGCATATGAAGGGGCATTGTCATGTAAACTCTGGTGCGTGTTTGTGGATTCCTGTTGGTGCTGGCCCTTTGTGATGAAATTATTTTATCCCAGCTTGCCACTCGGATTTCTCCGTTTTCCGCAAATCACTCACCTCTGTGGACAAAAAACAAGCAGTTCATGTGCTCACCGAATTTGGCAAACAGCCTGCATACGTTTCATCACCAGATGAAGTGACTTCATCCGTAGCTGCACGCTCAGACTTTTGAATAACACTATTTAGGAAAAAGTGTTCATGCCAAGTGGCGACAAATTTCCCGTAATGATATAATACGCTGTCCAATACTATGTTGCGAATATTGATTTGGTTTGTTAGATGGACGCTAAGGACTGACTCGTGCGTCCTACGTCTACCACATGGTAAGGCTGTTTATCAGATCTGTGGCTTAAGTGTTTGTTCATCTTACCTTCCATTTTCCGGTCGGCGGTTTACTTTAGGCATCTCGGTTCATCACATCACGTGCTTCTAACTGAGCTGCTTGTTTAAAGAGTGTACACTGTCAGACAAAGGGCGGGTGTCGGAACCTAATAACAACCCTTCAGCACATCGTGATTAATATCCATGCATTGTCACGGGACAGGCTGCCCACTTGGCCAGGTGTGCCAGCCTGCGTCTTTTGTGGTGAACTCATCCTCTGCTCAGTATACACTGGAGCAGTCACGCCTACATAGACTACAGTCTTTATGAAGTATCATTAAAGTCCGTATAAATAAGTGTCAGGAGATCGATACAGTTGCAGGTAAGTTTCGATCTCTGCATGCATCCCCGTTTGCCTAGCAAAATGTCTCCGATATGCCAACCCTTGCCTGACAACATTCTCTTTTGCTCATTTTTCAATGGTCTCACATGTTTATTAACTTGTTTATCGCGATTGCACTTTGTTTCCTGTTGTCTGCTTGTACTCTTTCACAGTGTCATGCCTGTTCGACTCGGTGTCTGACTACGGGTTCCTTACGCGGTCACTTTTGGACCAGTTTAACCGCAGAACAAATCATACCAAACAATGTTCATTGTTTCAGAGTATTCAGAGTTTCAGAGTACTCAAAGTTTCAGAGTACTCACCGTGTGTTTTGGATTGCGACACGCAATCTTAATTGTGGCCTCGGTTGACTTACAAGTCAGCCTCTGCCTTTCAGATCACTGGGACCGTCACTGAATTGGGGGGTTTCGGTGTTGCTCTCTCACATCGCTGCATTCCACGATGCGTTTCGTTCTTGTTTGGACGCATCAGGTAGATAAAGTGTGAATTTGGAGTGGAACTCGACACTCATAGGAGTTGGCGCCTATCGTCGTGATCACTAGAACATTGACTTCCACAAGCAGAGCTTCACACAGTGTTCATTATTAGTTGACTTTGGGTCTTTAGTGCAAGTTTTCTCTTACTGTCCTCAACATGTTTTCTTGTGTTTCCGGCTAATCACTTGAATATGCCACTTTGTATGCAATGTAGTCTAGATCAGCTTACGCGCTGATCGTAATCAGCCAACTCCAGGTTTACAGCCAAGCGTGGGCGTGGCCAGTACACGCACAATTCCACTGACTTTTTCTGAATCACAACGGGTTGCTCATCGATGTACTAGTCTATACACTGAAGCTGACAAAACATACACTATCCTCTGTCGGTTCAGTTGTATTCCCCCCGTCTGCTTGACTCTTCTTGCTCCTAACTTCGATGTTTACGTAACCCCTTTGGTATGGCTGCGCACAACGTGGTTGATGATAAGATGCCTATCTGCCTCACGTTGCTGCCTCGATTAACTAGCTATCGATCATTGGACGGTGTGTGTGACAGGGTTAACTTCTAAGGGTGATCTTGCTGTCTACCGAGCTGCAGCCTAGTTAGTGCCTTGTGTGCATCTACCACGCATGTTTCCTTTAATTTCTGCCTCAGTGAACAACCGGTATATAACGTTCCGAACTAGCCAAATTCTCATGAACTATATATTTGTCCTCTTAGAAGGCATTCCAGTGCTCCTGTGTAATGCTCTCACCCAAGCTAACCAACCGGCGAGTAGCTTACTTGTTGTGACATTATGGGTCGTCTTGGTGAAATCCTTGGTTCTTGCGTACACACCGGTTAGCCCTGTCCCTCAGTGCTCACAACTGGCACGAGGCCTCTAAGTGTTGTTTGGTGACACAGTCTTTCTGTATGCGCATGCTTCCTATGATTGTTCTGGTACTGTGACCGGTAAACCCATATACAGGCTCGGGATACACCCTGATGACTTGCCTGTAGGTTACCCTTGATAATCAGACAGCTTAAGTCACAAAAGTAGGCAACTCCTGGTTCTATGTGTAGGCTGCAGCATAGCCTCCTTCACTCTTTTCGTTCATCTGATGTGCATAGCTTTCACACGAAGTTCCGTGGGATCGAATATGCGGTTACGAACCCTATGGCAAAAACGAGGTGCTTTTGCCAATCTCCCCCACATGACAGAGACGCGACATCACTGTCGCTCTGGAGGGCAGAGTTTACAATGCAACCGTCCGTTTAACCCTCTTATGCGGTTGTGAAATCTGCCCCATCAGGTCGACAGATATAATGCGCCTAACTAGGTTCGACCGTCGCTGCCTTCGCAGATTAGCTCAGGTCTGGTGGGAGCACCACGTGAACAACCAATGTGTTCGGCGTCGCGTATTTGGTGCAGGAAGAGCGAGTGAATCGCTTAGCACCGTTGTATCACGCACCAGGCTCCGATGACTTGGCCACGTGTTGCGCCTGCCAGCACACCGACTTCCGCGTTGTGCGTTGTTTACACGACCGGCGTGTGGATGGACGAAGAGGTGGGAGGCCGAGAGATAACTTTGTCAAGAAGAATGAAGCCTTTCACTTCGCATTTGGCGTCGGTTGGTGTGTCCCATCTGCCTGGTTGAGATCCTAAGGACTGTTTGCACGTCTGGTTAGACACACTTGTTGATATGGCGAAGAGCCGGCCACAATGTCGTTTATGTTGTGAATTTCTTTGTCCATCCCCTTCACATGTCCCCCAATTCCGATCTCATACGAAATGCATAATATGTTATTCAACATTATATTGCTTGCTTTTGATTTTTCGTAGTGTACTTTTTTAATATCTTATATTTTGTATTGCGGCACACTACCTCAGGTGTTTTTCTCACCCTCAACTAACATATATTGATGATGATGATGACTCCGTTTATTCCCTCCGTCTACTCATTTTCCTACCCTGGTACAAAGCCTCTTATATTGCCGTTTTACTCGTTTTATGACATGCCTCGCCCTCTCACTATGTGTACATTTTAGCCTCTCCGGTTGCCCCGTGCCAATTTTGATCCTGCATGCCAAGGATGATCGTCTTGTTCCTTTTCGCCTCGGTGAACAGGTAGGTGCTAATATCTTCTTCATGTCCCTTGACTAGCCCCTGTTCACGAAATTGTACACTGCTATGATGGTCTATGTCAACTATTTGGTCTTGGTTTCATTAAGGTCATCGACCGTGCTTGGCGTCTTTCTGTCGTTCTTCAACTTTAGCATTTTCGGCCGCTATCTTCTTTTCCTGTGTTGTAGCTGTCAAACAGTCCCCACTGGTTTTGGAATCCTTTTCTGTCGCTTCGTACCCTCCACCGCAGAATTCACTGTAGATTTCGATTTCGTATCATTGTGACTTCGTGTTGAAGCAACCCTCTTCTATGTTTCGGCAGGCTTGAGGCATTTGTCCCACAGGCACGCACATGATCGTGAGCTGTCGCTCCTTACTGTACCACGAAGCGTTGTTCATGAAATCGCTGTTGTATTTGGACTGCAATGTATTGGAGTATAACATTTGTTGGGCTACTCGCAGCATACGTAGATCGGATAATCTCTACTGAACCACCTGTGTTGTAATGTCAGCACATTGCTTAGGAACTTAAGCCTCGAGATGCTTGTCCTCAGGTCCGCTTTTTACTAATATAGGCCCCCCATCGGTATCCTTGGCGTAGTTGTCGTTCCTTTTGCGTGCGTCGGTCGACTTTTCTTCATATTTATATGCTCCGGCGAAATGTTCTTAAGCAACCTGTACCTCAGCCTGCTGCAGCACATTTCGTCCATTTCCCCCAAGTGCACGTCTGTAAGCAACCACTGTACTTCGAGGCTCGTTTCGTGCGTTTTCCGTTTCTCAATGCAGAGTTCCACTCAGGTTTCGAGCATTTTAAGAGATAACTCGCTGCTAGGGCAACAGTCAACATGTTTACTTTCCCATCTTCTCTACCTCGGAGCTCATATAGCTCAAGCAAACTAGCGCAGAGCTTCTGAGCTCTCCTCTTTCACCACACAGAGGATCACTCAGTACATGTCACAGCTAATGCCTCCTCATTGAGGCCGCTCACAAAAGGTTACTGAACAAACTGAAGGCTATAGGCATTGGAGAACCGATATTTTCTTGGCTCTCTTCATACATAATTGGTAGACAGCAGGTGGTGCGCATCGGCGACTAGTTCTCTAAACCCAAAGCCATCACCAGTGGTGTGATTCAAGGGTCCTCTTCTTTCTCTACTATTTATTAACGATATATTCCATAGAATAATAAACAGTGTTGCATATATCTTTGCTGATGACATTAAATTTGTCTACTCACAACCACGTACAAATACCCAGGAAGCCGTACGTCACATTCAGGATGACCTATCTGCTCTTTACTCTTGGTGCCAACTGTGGCAGATGTCATTTGCCGTGGACAAGTGCACTGTTTTTTCGTACAAATGTCAAGTACCGCCAGACAGTTTATTACTACAAGGCGCATATATCTCGCAATGCAGAGCAGTTCGCGACTCGGGCGTACGATATTCAGTCACTTTCAACTTTTATGAACATTATGACTTTCCAGTTTCGAATGTCATGAAGACCACCGGTTACATCTGCCATCATTTTCCCATCACAGAATTTCGCATATCGCTTTACAAAACATATGTATTGCCGTGTAGGGGATACTGTTCAATGGTACAGTCTAATCTGCGGAAATCTGACTAGCACGCTCTTGAGAGCGTCCAGAGACGGTTCACGAAAAAGCTATGTGGATATTCCTCAAAGTTGACATACAGAGAGCGATGTCGTAAACTTGGATTTGACCCAGTTTGGCTTCAGAGAATAAAGCTGAACCTATGTTTTCTTTACAGAATCACAAACCATCCAATTCGCAACTTGATAAATTTGTTCACATATCTTTAAGCAGCAGGTATCCAATCCGTAACAAAGAGATAAAGGTCATGCATCCAAAATTTACTACGAGAATCAGAGGACCTTTCTTTCTAACCCACTACTTAAAGCTCTGGAACAAACTTCCAAGTGACATCATAACATGCTATACACTTTACAATTTTAAGCTTGCGATTAATAGGCAGCTAACCGTCCAAAACGTGAGTAATATGTTCGGGACATCACAGTCCCTAGATAACGCATTCCAAAACGGTACCCATGGTGCCTGAATAAACATTCGAAACACATACACACGACATTTCGGACAACAGCCACCTTTCATTTCATTTCATTTTCTCTCAGCCCAAATATCTGACATGCGATTGTGAAGAATCCTTGTTCAATGACAGGAAAAAATAGCAGAACCATTCTGATTAGTCTGTGTCACCTAATTTGAAATTGCGTCCATGTTTATTCCTGAATAAGTATTAATGCAATGTCATGGTAGGGTTGTACCATTATTTTATCTGTTCCTTCTAGGGAACAATTTCTCACTTCGTCGAGGAACATACAATTTATTTATTTAATTATGTTTCACCGCTAACTGCACAGACTCCACCTAGGCTCTCTTCAATGATGCTACTGTATCTGTCGTCCGAAGCCACACTGACTTCAACTGAGTCCTCCTCAGTACACTGCGACTAGGTGGCAACACATGTCACTCAATCAATCAACAGCGGAATTGATGCCATATGACCATGATGATCTATAGAATAAAGAATATTAAGAGGGAGAGAAAGGGGACTTACCTGAAAACCTTAATGCCCTAATCAAACATGTAGTTTCAAGGCGCCTGCACCTTGTGTAGACAACGGCGTCACAAACAGCTGGTTATCATGCGGCATTGGCGTGACAGCATCCTTGCGGTTTTCACTGCCACGCGTCATAATCAACGATTACCCCGCAGATAACTCAGCACCAAGCACACTTTAAACAGCCAATCCGATTACGAAACGGCAGCAGACGCACCACTGGTGTCGGCTGCGAGCCATGTCCTGTAAAGTCTAGAGCCAAGCACAAGGTGAGCCACTTGGACTCCAGCCCGGTAGGCGAGACGGACCAACGGCACCCAGTTTGGTCGTCAGTGACTTCATTTCCCGCTGCCAAGTCAACTTCTGTCCACCTCGAGCCTTGTGCCACCCTACACCTGGCAGACTAAACAAGGCCCTCCTAGGTAAGCGGTTACCAGGCATACGTAGCACGTGCCCGAGCCAGCGCAACTTATTCAGTGCTATCTGTTGTTCTAGGGAGCTAGCATGATTATCACCACCTAGTACTCGCCTACGCACATCATCGTTGCGGACACGCTGGTGCCATCCGACACCAGCAATGCTTCGCAGACAACGATGAACAAAGACTTGAAGGCGCCTCGGATCTTCAGACCGAAGGGGCCAAGTTTCACTCCCATAGAGCAGGACGGCCCTCACTGTGGCCTTGTATACCCGGCCTTTCAGACGAAGCGATACTCCCTTCTGTCGCCAAAGATGACGCAGATTCAAGAAAGCAGGTCTGGCCTTTGAAATGCGTGAGCTCACGTCAGTTTCTATGCGCTCATCATTGCTGATGCAGCTGCCAAGATAAATGAATTGATCAATCACCTCGAGTTCCTCGTTATCAAGCCTCAAGGGGTCATCAAGTGGTTGGTGGTCCTGCAGCATCACTTTGCACTTTGAGGGTGCAAAGCGCATACCAAATAATGGGACCACTGTAGACAGGCTATTTATGGTTGCTTGTGCTGTCGCAACATCGTCGAAAAGCTAGACGATATCGTCCACATCATCACGATCAACTAGCCTGTCATCAGGCAGCACTTCAACGCCTACATCGTGAGATTCCGCAAGGAAACACTCCTTGATAGAGTCCACAACGAAATTGAACAAAAATGGGGCAATCTGACAACACTGACGAACGCTACTTGTGATCGGAAAGCTATCCGACAGGTCACCGTAGACACTTTTGTGACCTGTAGTGTTCGAGTATAGAGCACGTAAGATGTTCGCATATTTCGTTGGAACACCTTTCCCTGCATTTCGGACAGAATGGATCGATCGACTGAATCGCACGCACTCTTGAAATCGAAAAACAGCTATTGTCGGTCTGCGGTATGCGTGGCGCTGCTCTATCACTTGCCTCAAGGTGAATATATGGTCCATGCATCCACGTCCTGGGCGGAAACCTGCTTGCTCTTCCCTAATTCGAGATTCCCCGTTCCACAGTGAGGCGACGAACGATAATCGAGGCCAGAAGTTTTGTCACAACTGACGTTAGGCTAATACTCCTGTGTTTAGCACAGTCTTGTGTATTGTATATTGCCATGATAACCGATTCGCTCCAATTAGCCGGAACACTCTCTTTCTTCCAGATACGTTCGAAAATGGGAGGTTAGTGCTTTGCAGAGGACCTCATCTCCATCCTTAAATAGTGCAGGTGGAAGGGAATCCGGGCCAGCGGCACGAAAATCATTGAAGGCTGTGGTCGTGTCTCGGACCTCGACCGAGGGCTGATACGGTTTCTCAGTTGCCAATCGAGGGAGACGTTTGGTGCGCCTCCCGGTAAAGTTCATGGAGAAACGACAGCGTACCAAGGCGTGGTCAGAGTCGACGCAGGTATTACAGTACGAGCGGCAATCCAGCATGGAACCACGCCACCTGTAACTTATGGCTATGTGGCCAATTTGAGTCCATCTCTGGCCAGCTACAGGTGGACGCCAAGTGGCACTTCGGCGTCCACTGTGTCTAAAAGCGGTGCTACTAAGAAAAAACTGGTGCTCCGCACACAGTTGCAGCAGACGCTCGCCGATGTGCGTCTCTTCGGAGTTAAGCCCATAATTACCATCCAGCTGATCTTCTGAAGACCTCATACGCTCTACCTGTGCGTTCATATCCCCTGCAAATACTATAATATGTGAACTAGTAGCACTGCGTAGTAGGGCGTTCAGTTCGTGATAGAATGTATCATTGACAACATTAGAACTGCGGTTGGTGAGAGCATAAGCGGAAATCACAAACTGCGTTTTTTACTACTTCGTGAATCAACCTTCATTGAGGTCTTCAAACGGGCTGCACATAAACGGCCATTCACCGAAACCCAATCAACTAAAGATGGCTCAGCCTTGGAGCTGAATATGATACCTAACCCAGCTGGAATTGT